GAAGTGCACACACTGGGATTCGAACCCGAGACCGCTCTGATACCAGTTGTTAGAGACTAAGGACGGACTCTATGAAGATTAGGGGCTGAAATATCTCAAAATCGTCAACTACAATTCTGGACAGAAAAGTCGTCGTCACAAGAAACGTCGTCGACGAAAGGTCCACTGTTAGAATTCTTTCAAACTCGAGTATGTTGTCGCCCTTGACCGTGGCTATCTTTTCCAATTTGAATAGTATCAAAATATGGAGTATAACTCGAGTTATGAACTTCGGCGCACTAGGGGGTATGCTGCCATAGAAAACGTAACTCAATCACAAATTATCTCACAAGTTCACACAAGAAAGTTGGAGTAGTACTTGAACCAGGTGGGAGGGGAAGAGGAGGACGAGAGGGAAGGTCCCCAAGGAGTCCCCAACCAAGGAAACCCCATTAGCACACCAAATCCCTTCCCTATATGAACCCCACTTTTACTTTTGTCACTTTCCAACCCATGCCATCCACCTTGCCCAACTTGGCCACACTTGCCAACCTGGTTTGGCACCTCCCAACCACTTGGAAGCATCTACAGTGATGTTGACGAATTTCCCAACCCCCAAAAGTCTATACTCCTTATGGAGTCAACACCACAACTTCCCATAGTCACCACAACCAAATATCAAAAGCATACGAACTTCCAACGTTCGTAACTTTCTTGTTCGTGCTCCGATTGAAGCGATACTTGGTTCGTCGGAAAGCTCTTGAGTAGAGGAGTCACTTCAGATATCTGCTCAAGCCAAATAACATTCACACACACTCAGAAAAAACAAACAACACCAAACACAAATTCTTGCACACGATCACACCACGCATGCAACACACGAACATATGATGGGAGGCAAACAGACGTGAATGCAAATGATAGCATCACACAACAACATGTACTCCATAGCTTTCTCCCATGTTGGCAGGCCGCTTCCCGACGGCGACACCCAGACACCCAGCAGATGCTCTGCGTCATCTGCACCAGCCCACTTGAAGACAGAGTTGCCGCCTGTCGCGCCAAGGTTCGCTCCAAGCGGTAAGATCACCGATTTACTTTTATTGGTCGCCAGGCCGGAAACTCTCACAAATTTGTCTAACAGCTGTCGGAATATAATTACATGCATTATATTATAACGGCCTGTAGTGTAGACTTAATGTAGTTCTAAACTTGTTTGGTGGTGCACCTCTCTTTTCCTTGCATATATGTTTCCAACTTTCTATAGTGAACACCCCTCTTCTTCTTTCTCGACTTTTCCCTTGCCTAAACTCTCTCGACACTCAACCCTAGCATGATTCCTACTTCCTACTAAGTTACTATTCTGACATGTTATCAGAGTGAGGTTCTTCCTAGGACCTACTTACATTGGGCCCACCATTTGCTTCTGCCAATGCACCACCCTGCTGCCCGTCGCGCGCCCCGGGCGCCCGACGGTTTTCTGCCCGTCATGCGCCCGTGACGCACGACGGTTTCCTGCTCGTCGTGCGACCTGCTGTCGCCCGCGCAGCCCCTACACCACCCCCCCGCCCCCCCCCTTCTTTTCCATCCCCCTGCTGATCGTGCAACAGAGGGGGAGGGTATGGGGGTGGCGAGTGGGGCGCACGACGGTTTCCTGCTCGTCGCGCGCCCTGCTGTCGCCCGCGCAGCTCCTAAACCACCCCCCCGCCCCCCCCCCCCCCCTTTTCCTCCATCCCCCTGCTGCGCGTGCAGCAGTTGGGGGGGGAGTATGGGGGTGGCGGGGGTGGCGAACGACGGTTTTCCTGCCCATCGCTCGCCCTGCTGTCGCCCGCGCGGCTCCTACACCGCCCCCCCGCCCCCCCCTTCTCCTCCATCCCCCTACTGATCGTGCAGCAGGGGGGGGGAGGGTATGGGGGTGGCGGGTGTGGCGCACGACGGGTTCCTACCCGTCGCGCGCCCTGCTGTCGCCCGAGCGGCTCCTACACCGCCCCCCCCCCCCCCCCCCCCCCCCGCCCCCCTTTCTCCTCCATCCCCCTGCTGCGCGTGCAGCAGTGGGGGGGAGGTTTTGGGGGTGGCGGGTGTCAGTAGTCAGCCGCCCACCACCTCCTCCTCTCTCTCCCTGCCGCACTTGTCGCTGTGTCGGGAGAAGGGGGGGAGCTTGGAGGTTAAGGGGGTGGCAGGAAGGGATCTGCAGCACCAGCCCCCCCGCCCCCCCCCTTCTCCTCCATCCCCCTGCTGCAGGTGCGGCAGTGGGGGGGAGGGGATCTGCAGCACCAGCCCCCCCGCCCCCCCCCCCCTTCTCCTTCATCCCCCTGCTGCGGGTAAAGCAGTGGGGGGGAGGGGATCTGCAGCACCAGCCCCCCCGCCCCCCTCCCCTGTTCCTCCATCCCCCTGCTGCGGGTGAAGCAGTGGGGGGGAGGGGATCTACAGCACCAGCCCCCCCCCGCCCCCCCTCTTCTCCTCCATCCCCCTGCTGCGGGTGCAGCAGTGGGGGGGAGGGGATCTACAGCACCAGCCCCCCCGCCCCCCCCCTTCTCCTACATCTCCCTGCTGCGGGTGCAGCAGTGGGGGGGAGGGTATGGGGATGGCGGGTGTGAGTGAACTGCTGCCGCCTCTCCTCCTCTCTCTCCCACTGCTGCACATGCCGCTTGGGGGGGGGGGAGGGAGGGTGTGGGGGAGATGAGGGAGTGGCAGTAGGGATGCTGAGGGGTGTGAAAGGGAGGTTTGGGGAAATGGGGGAAGTTGAAGGGGGGTGGTCGCCATGAAGCCAGCAGCTCCAGTCGCCCGTGAGACCGTTGCGCCAGTTGTCCGTGAGCCCGTTGCTCCTGTCGCCCGTGAGTCAGTTGCTCCTGCCGCTCGCTTAGCCGCGGAGCCAGTTACTCCAGTTTCTCGTGTGCTAGTTGCTCCATTTGCCAGTGTGCCAGTTGCTCTAGTTGCCCGTGTGCCAGCAGCTTCAGCCACCACCCACCACCTCCTCTCCTCTCATGGTCCCTCCTCCTCTTCACTTGCCCTCTCCTTCCTCCGCTGCGCTTGGTGTATCCCTTCAGGGGGTGTTCTGCACATGGTTCTTCACTGCAGGCATTTAGGGGGTGTGTCGGAATATAAATACATGCATTATATTATAACTGCCTGTAGTGTAGACTTAATGTAGTTCTAAACTTGTTTGGTGGTGCACCTCTCTTTTCCTTGCATATATGTTTTCAACATTCTATAGTGAACACCCCTTTTCTTCTTTCTCGACTTTTCCCTTGCCTAAACTCTCTCGACACTCAACCCTAGCATGATTCCTACTTCCTACTAAGTTACTATTCTGACAACAGCTCCTCTGCTTTGGTTATCTGCTCCCCTCCTTCCAGCGCCAATGTTGTATCATCTGCATACCCAAGGTAACCAAGTCGCTGCCCGTCCTTGCTGAGCCCAAGCTCCTCCATCTCCACCGCACACAGAAAGAGGTAAGGCGCCAAGGGACACTCTTGACGGAAGAGAGGCCGACTTCTCAAAATATTTTGCCATAGCCATGAAGCTTCCCCCCAGCAGATCCCAGTGAGGCTCAAAGAGTTCCTTCGGGATTCCGTCACCTCCAGGTGATTTGTTTTTAGCCATTGCTGCAAAGGCTTTCTTTACCTCCTGCTCCGTCCAATCCGCTACTAAAGCTTCCGCCATTCCCCCCTCCAACCGTCTTGTCAGGGAAGTCAGTACGCCGGTCCTTTCCTAAGTTATTTTTGAAGTACCTCGACGCCGCGTCCAGAATCGGCTTGGAGCCGAGACCCCCCCTTCATTTAGCTCCGCAATATGGGTGCGTGCTTTCCGCGCACGAATTTTCGCCGAAAGGTGAGGCGACGCCATCTCCCCTGTCAGCTCATCCTTCAGACCCGCTTGTAAGTGCAACCGCTCCCTTCTCGCCACCTGATACTCCTTTAGCTGAAGCTCCTTCTCCTCCATCAGTAACCTTTTACGGTCGCATGTTGGATCCCTCATCTACTCCTGCTTCAGGACGGCAACAATGTTGACCATGTGTGTCCGAGTCGCCTTGACTCTCTTACTTTCTTCCCTCGCGTACGATCTGAGACCAGCACCAAGCCGAGAGACCAGTAGTTCAAAACTGCTGCCATCATGAATTGGTGTCCGTTGGACCATTGCGTCAATGATCTTTCGCACAAACCTTTGCGTCAAGTCTAAAGGCCACTTTAATCGCGAAACCATGATCAGATATAGGCTCTTTCGGATTGTCATGTGAGGATAACGCAAAGTGGGAGAGAAGAGAGTGTGAAACTAAGGCTCGGTCAATACATGTACAGGCTCGATGAGATCTGTCATAAAATGTGTATTCTCTGGCTCGTGGATGCAGGATACGGAAGGCATCAAAGAGTTGGAAGCTGGTGCAATGTAAGAAGAGTTTCTCATTCTCAGTGGACGACCCTGAGTCTGAGGATCTATCTAGCTTGGGGTCTTCAGTCATGTTGAAATCCCCTATCATTAATAAGTGAGAGACTGGCGGGATCTGGTCAACGATCAGTCCAAGGGAATCACGAAGGAAGGCAGATATGGATGTAGGATTTGCAGGGAAGTATACTTCTAGTAGAATTATTTCTAAGCCTGGGCCTCTGACAATCATTCTAACTATGCGAACTGATGCGTGAGCTAGTGAGCCGTGAAAGGAGATGTTTGGGTCTCGGCAGACTACTGCAACACCACCAGCCGTCGTGTACGGGGAGGAGGTAATGACTGTAGCGGAATCAGAGGTAAGAGCTGTCCAGTAAGTATGGTTTGCTTGAATTCTAGTATCTACGAGGATGGCAATGTCTGTGGTTGTCCTAATCCAATCAGTTACACGATTTTGCTTAGTCTTGTCTCCTAATCCATTAACGTTGAGGATCGCGAAGGTGAGGTGGTTCTTGATAATCATTGGTTAACCCACTTGCAGCCCCTGATCATCCACAGGCTGAGGAAAGAAACTATGCATGCAACATTGACTCCAAGACTCCAGCAGGCAGCAACGACCAAGTAATCACAAGAATCTGTCACAGTCCATACTCCTTGCGGATGATGGTGAGGTTCATCCTGTCGAGAGAGTCTTTCGTGGCCGATCCAGGCTTCTCCAGCTGCTGCAGATGAGCGGCAACAGTTATGTGATCTGCAGCTGACATGAAGCTCTTCCCCTTTGCTTTCCCGCAACCTTTCTGCATGCAGATCCAATCCTCCCTGCTGCTGCCAGTAGAGACAAAGGCAATGGCCGGATCGCAAAGGATGGGAAGCATCAACGGAGATGCTTTCAGCGACACAGCTACAAAGATAAAGCAAACAAATCGCATGTGAGGTAATAAGGAAAGTGAGAAAGCGGCGAATAGTCTGATTGTTGCGTTTACTGTTAAGCCTGTGCACCTTCCCTAGGGTAAGGTTCCATTTGCCTACGTTATTCTGACGCTCAGTGATAAAAAAATCATGATACTTGTCACAATGTTTGCCACCCCATAGCGTGCAGGATAAAGCGGGGTAATGGAGGAGGAGCTTCTTCGCGCGATCGGCAGGGTCCGCAACCGCATGAATCCAACGACGTGAACCCGGGTGAGCATAGACTAGCGCCTTCACCACATCAGTGTCAGCACCAGTAACCGGGTGAAGCACACGATGAAGACACGTGCACCGCAGGAAAGCCGGCTTCTGGCTGCTCTTTAACTTGTAAGTTGCCAGGCGATCATGCAGCAGATCCAGTTCGATAGCAGCAGAAGCACCACTGATCATGACTTTAATGGCGAGCGGGTTCATCGCCTTCTCACGAGCGTAAGACAGGTCTTCAGCATGCAGCCAGTGAAGCGTGACAAGTTGACCCATGTTCGCGAGAGGCTGATACACCGCCTCCTTTTTCTGCACCCAGAGCGCATCAGATTCATTGAGGAAGGAGACTTGCAGGCGACAGTAGCGCGTCTTGACGACATAAGCGGGAAGCAGTTCCTGGAACTTTGTCGTGTTAGAATATATCTGTAACTGCCTGTAGCTGTAGTTAGTGTAGTTATTATAAACTTTGTTAGGTGGTGCACCTTCTTTGTTCATTTGCTATATGTTCTTGCAAACCTATAGTGAAGTCATTCATTCTCCTCTCTCGACTCTCTCGACTTGGCACAACTACCTCGACTCCAATGGCCTAGGCTTCTAAGCCTAGGCCCTTAACCTAAACTTTGCCTACTATCATCTGACATGGTATTCAGAGCAGGAACCTTCCTGCTGTCTTCCTTAACGGGCCCACCATTTTGCTTCCGCTACATGTCGTCCTGCCGCGCGCCTAGGGCGCCCGGCGATTTTCTGCCCGCCGTGTGCTCGGGGCGCACGGCGGTTCTCTGCCCGCCGTGCGCCCCGGGCGCGCGGCGTCTGACTGCCTGCCTGCCCGTCGTGCGCCCCGTGGCGCGCGACGGTGCCCTGAGCCGCCGCGGACCCACCCCTGGCGCCCGCGACGGTGCCTTGAGCCGCCGCGGACCCGCCCCTGGCGCCCGCGACGGTGTCCTGAGCCGCCGCGGACCCGCCCCTGGCGCCCGCGACGGTGTCCTGAGCCGCCGCGGACCCGCCCCTGGCGCCCGCGACGGTGCCTTGCGCCGCCGCGGACCCGCCCCTGGCGCCCGCGACGGTGGCCTGAGCCGCCGCGGACCCGCCCCTGGCGCCCGCGACGGTGCCCTGGGCCGCTGCGGACCCGCACCTGGCGCCCGCGACGGCGCCTCTTCATCACCAGCGCCTGCACTCGGTGCAGCCGCCCGTGCCTCACATGCGCCTGCACTCGGTGCAGCCGCCCCTACCCTACCCGCGCCTGCCCTTCCCTGTGTGCCACCCCTCTGTGGCTGTGGGGCGGCTTCTTCCCCGCCACCCCCCCCCCCCCCCTCCTCCTTCTTCTTCCCCTCCTCCTCCTTTCGTTCCCACTGCTGCAACTGCCGCTGGGGGGAGGGTGTGAGGGTGTGAGGGAGCCAGGGGAGTGGCATTGGGGTGGCGGGTGTGAGACATCCAGCCCCCGTCCCTCTGAGGTGGGGGGGGGGGGAGGAGAGTAAAGGGGTGGCAGGAGTGCCTGCCCCCCCCCCTTTTGCTGCTGTACCTGCTTTGTAGCCTTGCCTGTTGCCTGCTGTTGCTGTTTTCTCAGTTCGTGGTGTACCCATCCAGGTTGTGTCGCTGCACAGACTCCTGCTTCTGGCAGTTATGGGGGAGTGTTAGAATATATCTGTAACTGCCTGTAGCTGTAGTTAGTGTAGTTATTATAAACTTTGTTAGGTGGTGCACCTTCTTTGTTCATTTGCTATATGTTCTTGCAAACCTATAGTGAAGTCATTCATTCTCCTCTCTCGACTCTCTCGACTTGGCACAACTACCTCGACTCCCATGGCCTAGGCTTCTAAGCCTAGGCCCTTAACCTAAACTTTGCCTACTATCATCTGACATGTCGTCGGTGCGGGTTTGTCAGATAAATCTGTGTACCATCCACGTTTTATTAGTGCCTTGACAGTCTCAATCACGCAGGAAACCTCCTTCTCAAGCATCATGGGAATCAGCAAGATGACAACTGAACGCAGCAGGGACGCAGCCTCCTTGTCCAAGTCGATCAGCATCTCATCATCCGAGTCTTCGTCCAGGTAACCATCCTCGTCCATGGCCGCCTTGTCAGCCACCGAAAGGCCGGATCCACCAGGCTTGGAGACATTGACACCGTTGAGCTTGTCAGTCACGGTAGAGATGTTGTCCTTCGTTGCTTCATTGTCAACATTGACACTTCCCAATTGCTGATCCACTGCAGGAGGACCAGTGACGCCGTTTGAAGCTAAGGTGTCAGCAGCAGGACGAGAGCGCTGACCCTTAGGCAGAGCCGGGACATCAGCAGGGTGAGACATGGTGCGATGGTGAGATCTAGGCAGTTGAAGAAAGTGTTGATTGCACTTGTTGACAGAAAAAGCTTGTACTGCCTGATGATTGAGCACAGCCTTAATAAATAGTGTTCCAGCTTTTCTAGGATCACGCAGCTGATGTTGTAATCTCGAGGGTAGCACCTCGATGACATCGTGCTTAATAATAAGCGTAGAAACACTAACGAAAGAGCTTGACGATACACCATGCTGAAGAACTTGAAAGTAACGAGGCCTTGGGAATGCACTTCTGAGCCTGATTCTTGTCGCCTGATAACTGGAGAGACCAAGGTCAGCATAAATGACCGGACTTCTATTGCGAATGTTAGAGACGATAATATTAAGAGGATCAGAACTTCGCGTGCATTGTAATGAGGATGTTGACTTTGTCAAGCTCGGTAGAATCCATGGCTGCTAGAAGGCGGAGAGCATCCTTCCGTGTCTGGCGGTGTTGGTTCAAGTAAAATGTATGAATGTTTATAGGCTTTCACAATCTTGGTTTAGTGCATTTGACGGAGATGCATTTTAGTGCATTTCACAAATGCATTTTTCTTCTACCAATTCTGAACATAAGAACGTGGCATTTCACTAAGGGGGTGTTACATTGGTGTGCAGGCGAAATGGACCAGCGAAGGTGTACGAGTACCACTTTACTGCAAGCCCTCAGATTGGTTTTGGGCTAGTCTGAAAATTCAGGGTTGGTACATGACTTAACTCTGAAAATCAGAGTTTTTCCTGCAGAAATACCACTGCACACTAGAAAAAATCGCATTTTTCCTGGGTTTTCTAAAAAAAAGGCTGAATTTTCAGAGTTCACTTCAAAAAAAGGCTGAAATATCAGAGTTTTTTAGGCAAATCAGAGAAATTTCTCTGACTTATGGGGGCCTGCTTTACAGGGACCGCTTCCAAAAGTGGTCCCCGCCTGGTACCCAGGTGGTACCGGGGACCATTTGCAGCGGACCAGCTATGCACAATGCCTTGCAGCTCCCTGAACGAAGAAAATAACGCACCTGGTCACACGTGAATGGCATGTCGCAACCGACAGAGTATATTGGGGAGAGGAAAAAATTGCAGTGTTTGCATGTGATTCTAATCGTCTGGGATCGCTCTGGAAATGATCCTGCATGTCGCACACCGCTCTCGTGCGTGCGGCTCGAACTGTACGTGCCGATCCGTGGGCGGGTGCAAGTCGGGTCCAGACCTGGTCCATGGCTGGTCCACAGCTGGGACTCACTGGGCTGCGCAGGGTTGGGCTGGGCCGCTGCGGACCATCTAATACATGTGACACAAAAATAGCGTTCATCTCTGCTATTTTTCACTTGAGTTCTGGTGCGAAATACCCTGCCCCGGCGTCCCTGTGCCACGTGCCCGGACAAGTACCACTCTGATTTCTTTTAGTGTGTGTGCAAACTATTATAGTTTACGATTTTTTTGCTATGTGCCTTGATGGTTATATTGCTTTCTTCTCGTAACGAATTTGCTGCCTGCTTGGAAATTTGAGTTTCGCATACGCGAACGTAGGGACTTGAAGTTTCCCGGGTAACCAGGGCCACGGCGAGTTGAGTCAGCCAGGTCCCCACCCAGCTGCGTCATCCGGTTCGGAGCTGCGTCAGCGGGTGGTCCACTCGGGCAGCCGAGGCCGGTGTCCCAGTCAGGATCCGAAGGGCCGGGCCTCAGATTCCTCGCCAGGAGGTTTGGGCGAGGCGGGCGGTTGGCAGGGCAGTTCCAGTTCCAGGCTGGCCTCGCCGCTCGCGTGCCCAGGGTGACGACAGCGAGGGCATCGGGTTTCCTCTCTCGCGAGGAAGCCGACACCCTCGGCCCGAATAGAGCAGCTGCGTTCTGAAAGGTTAAAGCTTTCGTATACATTTGAAAGTGGGAGTTTCAGAAGTTTAGAAATTTGAAAACTGGTTACCCTATTACAGGTCATTTCCCTCGTCCCACAAGGGAGATGATCCCCCCGACACCCCGCACCATCTCCTCTGACTGCTGGTTCAAAACTTTTGAAACAACAAAAGGATACAAATTACCATGTTTCTCAGAACTAGGCCACTACGCACGATAGGCCGAAAACTACGTAGATAAGCAGATCGCGATTCAACAACCAGCGCAAAGAACCCCGTTTCCGACACAAACAGCGACGTAACTAGACGTATAGAGTCATTACGCGTCCGCACCAACGCCAGTTCCGCCCTCTCACACTCGCCTCTCCCGCATCACACGCGTTCGACATTGAAATAGCACTAGCCGCGCCCGCTAGCTTTCAAACGCGGCATCCCTCCACCTACCACTCTCGTCGCGCCGCATCAAACCGCTGCTTGTGGCCTAGCCGGCGCCGGTTCTAGTCACCTCGCCGAGCCGATCACAACGGACCTCCTTTCATTAGCCTCGCCTCGTTGTCCGTCGCGGCGTCGCATCGCCTCACCTCGCTGCCTCCTCACACCTCCTTGAACACGCACGCTGCATCTGAAACTGCCGAACAGCGGGATCTCGCACGATCACAGTCGCCTCCCGCTCGCGCAGCTTTGTTACCCCGTTTCCGCACTAGCCACGGCAGCCGCACTTGAGGTCGCGACGGACTGCCGAAACGGTCTCCTTGACCAGCCAATTCTTCTCCCCTTCCCAGCGCCTTCCCATCTCCCCTTTTCGCCTCCCTATTTCGCCTGCGTGGCTCCGTATCTCGCGTTAGTGCCTCCGAATTCCCACTTTCTGCCTTCCGATCTCCCTTTCTTGCCTCCCTGTTCCGATCTTCCCTTCCCTCTTTCCCCATTTCCCCTTGCCTTCCCGCATCCCCAATTCCCCTTTCCTCCACCGCAATTCCCCTTCCCGTGTCATGATTACCCCTTCCCGCCTCCCCGGTTTTCCTTCCCGCCGCGCATTTCCCCTTTCCGCCTCCCCGATTCCCATTCCCGCTCCCGGTATCCCCTTCACACATTTGCGTTTCCCCTTCCCGCACCCCATTTCCCCTTCCCGCCTCCCCGTTTCGCATTCCCGCTCTCCCACATTCGCGTTTCCCCTTCACGGTCCCCATTACCCCTTCCCACCTCCCCGTTTCCCCTTCCCGCTCCCCGTTTCCCCTTCCCGCTCCCCGTTTCCCCTTCTCGCTCCCCGTTTCCCCATCCCACCTTCCCGTTTCCCCTTCCCGCTCCCCATTATCCCTCCCCGCCTCCCCGTTTCCCCTTCTCGCCCCCTCGTTTTCCCTACCCGCCTCCCCGTCTCCCTCTCGTTTCTCCACCTTCTCCCTCTCGATTCCCCCCTTCCCCCTCTCGTCTACCCCCCTCCCCCCTCTCATGTCCCACCTTTCTCCTTCTCATTTTTCCCCATTCTCCGTCTCATCCCCCCCCCCCCCCCCCCCCCCTTCTCAAGCTCACCTACCCCCTTTCTCCCTCTTAGCTCCTCTCTTCCTACGCCCTGCTTCCCCCTTTACTCTCTCGTCCCTACACCCTTCATTCCCCTCTCCGCTCTCTGCCTTATACCCTTCTACCTCCTTTCCCCTCTCTGTCTTACACCCCTCTTGATTTATTCTCCACTCTGCCTTACTCCCTTCTTCCACCTTTCCCCTCTCTACTCCACACCCTTCTTCTCCCACCATGCGTTCTCCCCCTTATATCCTGCTAAACCCCATTTCCCTCTCTTCCCTACACCCTGCTTCCCCCTCTCTCTTCTCTGCCTTACGCCCTGCTTTCCCCTTTCCCCTATCTTCCCTACACCCTTCTTCCCTCTTTCTACCCGCGCTGCTTCCCTTTTTCCCTATCTCCCTTTCCCTCTTTCACCCTGCTTCTCCCGTACCCTGCGACGTGGTAAGGACGCGAGGCGACACATACGACGTCGTTTCGATTCTGGACGAGCTAGCTGGCGAGCTGGAAGGATTCTGGTAACCACACAACCGTCCGAACGGCTGGACGTCCGGACAAAACAAAGGAAAAATGTCACACGCCCTAAGGGCTGAGGCGCCGCAGCGGGTTCGGCGATAAAGGGCCATGGTGCGCATCGGGTGAGGCGCTAAGTGGGAAAGGCGCGCAGCGGGTGAGGAGCCAAGCGGGAGAGGCCTACCTAGCGAGTGTTGAGAGTGGCGGCGTGGCCAACGCATGAAACGCGCATCCGCTCAGTGAACACGGCCCCTAAATTATCAATCGCGTGACGGCTTACTCGAGTGCGGCGACCCAGCGTCGTGATGCAAACCGCTAGCCTCGGTTCCTCTATCTATGCTTCGGCTGGTGAGTCACTGCAAGGTTGGGTGACGGGGGAGTTTCCCGTGTTTGGAACCCTCAAAGGTGCAAGTTTTCGCAAAACCTCTCGCCACCCTCATTTGGTTTCGTTTGAGCGAATTTTTTTGGGATACTGTGCAACCGTGAACAGTACTTGCAAATGTATACGAAAGCTTTAAGGTTTCCTCCAGCCTCCGGATGGGCCCAAATGTAACAACCCCTAAAATGCAATTTAGTGCATTTTAGCACATCTCTTTCGAATTGTGCTGGCTGCCACCAGGCTTCCACGTGTTCGGTTATCACCCGTACGTGGCAACCTTGTCTTCATTACATGGCGACTCGTCAGCTGGGTCGTTCTCCAGCCGCGATGCGCCTCTCGTACGCGCCGCGCTCGTCCTCTCTCTGTCTCTCGCCTCTCGTGCGCAGAATCACAGGGGCGCTCCATTCTGGGGCTCCCTGCTGCTCCACACGTCACACCCGACCCTTGGACCTCCCTCCCACCCTTCCATGCAAAATACACACTCGCCATGGCGTCCTCTCGTCGTGCTGGCGGCACGGAGGGACACGGAACTTTGCTCAGAGGAGCGGAACAACGCACGGGACGGCCGCGACGGCGAATGGTGAACGCGCTGACGGGCGGGTCGACGCAAGGCGCTCTCCGCGGCAGCAAGCTGCTGCGCAGCGAGGGGCGCGGATTCGCCGCCATGGCCCGCGTGGTGGTCGCCGCCGGCAGTGCTGCTGCGGCGCTCATGCTGCTTGCACCGAGAGTGGCGCAGGTAGCTTGAGGCGCCTACGCGCGTAGGGCAGACACACTGCCACCATGTGCCCTTCGTGTGCCCTTCGTGTGCCGTCAGTCACCATAATCCTTCGCGCTCATACTCCCGCTCCTCACTCCGTACCTTGCCTTCCCCTGGTGCTCACAGTGGGCGCGAGCAGCGCGGCCGGCGCATGGCCGGCTAAACCCTACGCGCGCACTGCACGCCCCCGCCGGCACTGCCGGCAGGGACGGCGGCAAACGAGGGCTGGCCACCCAGAGCAGTGACGAGGAGGGTAGGGCGGGGCGGCAGCTGGAAAGTGGGGAGCGGGAGCAGAGGTCGAGGGAGCGGCAGGGAGAAGGGGCAGCAGCAGCAACAGGGGGAGAAGCGGGGGATGTGGAGAGCTCGGGCATGGAGGGCGGTGGAGGGGAAGGGCCAGTGGCGGCGCCGGGACCGATGGAGATGCTGGCGCGCGGGCTGGCGTGCATCCAGGCGAACCTGGGCCCGTGGTCCGTGTCCGACCTCACCCTCGGCCTCGCCGTCATGGCCAAGGTCGCCCTGCCCCTCCTCTGCTGCCACCCCCACTTGCCACTGCCACCCAACCTTGTCCTGCCTCCACCTATCCACTTCATCCATCTTCCCCTTCCCCCTCATGCTAACGCCTCTCTCCTCTCTTCCCCTGCTCGTCTCATCCGCTCAGGTGACGGCAAAGCGCCCCCCTCCCCCACCGCGTGGGCGAGTGGTGGCGCCTGCGGAGGTGGGTGTGGCATACCTGGTGGAGTTGCAGCGCCTGAGGGCGCACGCCGAGGCCGTGTACTCGGGGGACAGCGCCACCTGGTCGCTGCAGGTCACTTCTCCACCGCCCTCTTGCCCAACCCAACCCAGTCGCAGAAAACGTGTTGCACATAGGGAGTATATCCATTGCCGTAATTGGCGTTCTGTATTGTTGAGGATGTCTCATATTTGGACGACTGCTGCAGTCGATGATGCTTTCAAGGGATTCAAAGGAAGTTGGTTCAAAGGGGTTGTTGCTAAGTGCACGTCCATGCTTTGCCATGACTACTGTCTCGCTCTTTCTTCATCACTTTCCTCGCTGTTCCGGTCCTGGTTCATCCCCCTCAATCGCATCCTCAGGGTGGCAGTGTGGCAGTTGCTCGTTAAGCCACATCTGACAGGTAAAAGCGCCACAACGATTGCAATTGCAAGGGTCTCCCAGAAAATTTCAGCAAGAAGGATGGCAAATCGGTCGGGGCCGCCAGAGTGAGGCGCAACCCAAGATTCAGCCCTGTTCTCCACTCCCCTCTGTCTCCCCTCCCCTGGTGGACCCTCTGCCCGTTCTGTTCTTCCCATGGTGTGTCTCAACTCCCATTCTCTCCTGTCCCTTTTCCTCCGTCCCGGTGCACAGACATGTCTGCCGGAGTCGGCCATAGTGCATGCGCAGTGGCAGCCGCACAACCAGCGGGTGCGCCCGGCGTTTGTGGTGTGCGTGGACCCACAGCTGGGGGCCGTGGTGGTGGCTGTCAGAGGCACCTCCGACACCGCTGACATGCTCGTCAATGCCGGCACCTTTCCACACGATTTCCTGGGCGGCAAAGTGCACAGTGGCTTTCTGCATGCCTCTACACATTTGCTCTAGTAGGCACCTGCTCAGTCTGAACCAGTATTTACTGCTTCACCCACCACACACCTCATGTGTTCCAAATGAATGCTCTGGTTTGATTCTGGCTTATGAATGCAGCCCCACACTTTCCTGACCTGCTTTGGTCCCCCAGCATGACAAGTGCACAGAGCTGAACTGTCACCCTCTCTTACGTGGCTCTCTTGTGCGTGCCTCACTTGTGGCCGTGCAGTGAGGCCCGGGACCACATCGAGCACGCACTGCGCACGTGGCATGGCATGCCGGTGCGGCGCCTTGTGTTCGTGGGGCACAGCCTGGGCGCGGCTGTGGCTATCTTGGCAGGCATGATGCTGCGGCATGAGAACAACCGCCTGCACCCGCACCCTCATACACAGGGCAGCGCAGGTCATGGCAAGGCATCAAGAGAGAGCATGCATGCTGTGACAGGTGACAACCACTCTCGTGCTGCTCCTGCCAAGCGTGGTGGTAGGCGTGGTGGCAGGGGGCGGAGGTCAGAAGGGCGGCAGCAGGAGAGGAGGTGGGGGGACAGGGAGTCAGAGGAGCTGCAGCAGGCAGCGGCGGAAGCAGTGGTGGGAGCAGGGAGGGGGTTGGATGGTGTGGAGGTGCAGTGTGTGGGGTATGGTCCGCCTGCATGCATGACTTTGGACTTGGCCCAGCTGTGCACCTCCTTTGTCACCTGTGTGCTAGTGCAGCACGACTTAGTGCCTCGGTATGTGCATCTCTTGCCCGAACGCCTCTACTTTATGGTTTCCCATACGCTTCTGCTTGTCCATGTTTGCCTCCATGCCCTCGTCCGCCCCACCCCTGCCTCCTATGGACCCCTGTTTGCCACTGGCAGGTTCTCTCTTGCCAGTGTGGAGTTGCTGCGGCAGGCCATCGGCACGTTTGACTGGGACCATGCAGAGGCTGTGCTAGGGTGGCATGACGAGGACTGGCAGCGCCTCAAGGCGGCCAGGGACCTGCTCACGCGCCTCAAGGACCTGCAAAGCACGGCCGTGGGGGCAGCGGCAGCTGTGCAGGGGAGTGCAGTGTCAGCGGCAGCAGCAGTGCAGCAGTCAGCGGCGGGTGTAGCGGCCTCCGTGCAGCAGTCACCATTGCTGGGGGCTGCAGTGGGGGCGGCTGGAGCAGTGCAGAGTCAGGCAATGGGTGCGGCAGCAGCGGTGCAGGGAGCTGCGGTGGCAGTGACGGGGGCGGCAGTTGGGCTGGGTGGCAAAGCACAGGAGCTCCAGCACGTGGTGGTGGAGAGGGTCCCTGAGATCGTGGCAGATGCCATTCCACAAGGGGTGGTTGAGCTCGTGGGGGGCGCAAGGGCGAAGCAGCAGGAGAATGGTAGCAAGGGGCAAAAGGGGGGGGCGAATGAGGGGCAGTTGGGCAAGGTGATGTGTGGAGGCGATGGGCAGTCAAGGCGTGGGCAAGGTTGGGATAATGTGGTTGAGGAGGATGGGGCAGAGAGTGCTGAAGGAGATGGCATGAAAGCAGGGGGTGGGAAGAGAGCAGAAGAGGCAGGGGAGGACTGGCAGGCAGATCAAGAGTGGGTGGAGGCGCAACACATGGAGGGTGGGGCGGATGCCATTGGCTCTAGTAGCGACAGTGGGGAAGGCGGTAACAGTAACGACGCTGGGGAATCTGGAATGGAGGCTATGGTGCAGAGAGGTGAGTGCAACGGCGAGGGAAGTGGCGTGGAGAGAGGTAAGGTGGCGGAAGCAGTGGACAGCAACGAGGATGGGAGCACTGAGGGGAGGGAGGGTAAAAATGAGGAGCGGGCTGAAAAGCCAGAGAGTGCTCATGAGAAGCAGCAGCAAGAGGATTTTGCGCCACCCCTTTACCCCCCTGGTCGTCTGCTGATGCTGTGCTGCGACCCCCCTGGTTGTGGCCATCGCCCCACCACTCGCAAGGAAGTGCATCCGCAGAGGCAGTTTGGTGTGTTCCCCTCGCACGAGGAGGTGGCGGGAGGTCACATGCGGTGGCAGGTGGTGGAGGTGCAGCAGGAGGCGGTGCGCGAGATAGTGGTGTCGCCGTGGTGCATCAGCGACCACATGCCAGGCACCATGGGCGAGGGGCTCAACTGGATCATGGCACATGTGGGAGAGGGCGAACGGGGCAGGGTGGAAGGCGGGAGGGACAATGGTGAACGAGGGGTAAGGAAGCGGGAAGAGTAGCCAGCAAAGAGAGGATTGGCTGGTGAATTTAGCCCGAAGATTGGTTGATGAATTTCGGACAAGGACTTGGCTGATGTGATGAATTCAGGCCACCTCATTTTTGTTAACTGTGCTTACATTATACCCTGTGAAAGTGATCATTCTACAGCTGTACTGTATTTGCAGTAGCTCCGTAGTGTCAAGAGAGCCTCATGCTGTTTGCTTATGATGCTATGGTAGTTGCTTATCCAACGTTTCCATGGGTGTTTAACAACACTCCCATTGAAGGTGTCCTTTTTTAACCCATGGAAGTAGCATATTGTGGTATCAATCAACCCACAAGGAATTACTCAAGAGCCAAATGCATTCATTCTTAGTCTCACAGCTTATGTGGGGGGTCTACAGCACTTGCCGAAGCTATCACTCATACAGCTCGCGATGAGTGAATAAGGGGAACATGTTCGCTGTTAGTGCCAAAACCGCCATTAGTGCCGCGGTACTAAATTAGCATGAGCGTAGACGCGCGAGATTTTGTCGGCGGAGCACACCGTCCATCATGCCTTTGAACTCCGAGAAATTAAGGCAGCCGTCTCTGTTCACGTCCACCCGTGCAATCATCGTGCGGCAGTCCTCCATGCTGGGCTTGTTGCCACTCAGCATGCGCATGGCATTCTGAAGCTCCTCCGCGGTGATGCTACCGTCACCGTCGTGGTCGAACAGCTCGAATGCCTTACGCATGACCTCCTCCTCTTCCTTCGCCACCTCCACAATACCGCATGCCCCGCCGCCACGTGCAGCCGTGTGGTTAAAGCCAGGATCTCAAGTAAGAGAAATTGGCTTCAATTGCAAAACACTTGCAGCTCGAGTCACCCTGTTTGTTTAGGCGAAATCGAGTGGTTGGGTTGGAGGTTCAGTGTGCGACTGATCCCCGATTTGCCCGTGAATCTCAATTGCAAAACAAATTGCTGTGCATGAGATTTTTCGGCAAGTGAGACACATTGCTGGGAAATGAGCTTCGGAACCCAACCAGATTTCCGTGCCTAGTTGGTTCGGAAGTTCACTGCGATTTTTGTTTGCTTCGCATCCCTCGTTTCAGCTCTCGTCAACTACTCTACCTCGTCAACCAATCACAGCCTAACACAATTCACTAACTGCAAAACAGCCAAACTACTTGAGATCCTGGCTTTAAGCGACGAGTGCACGAATTCTTCGAAGTCAATCAGTCTGTCGCCGTTGGTCTCTGCCTTTGCCATCAGCTCCTGCATCGCCGACTCGTCCGCCCACCCCATGCGATCCAGAACTTGCCTCAGCTCCTAAGGGGAGATTTTGCCATCGCCATTCACGTCCAGCACCCTGAACACCTGCAGGACCTCATGGTTCCTAGAGGCGGCCTCCACCGAAGTCTGACCCCGCATTTGTGTCGTATTAACGGGCCTCACTCACCAAAGTGGGCACGATAGGGCTCTAACCGTCAGGAAATCGGACGCGGAAGAGAACCCTAGGAAACTCGAAGCCTCTTGTTCCAAGACCCGACACTATCCGAAACAACGTACTCACTAAACGCTAGGGAACAAAGTACCAAAAGGATGGTGGCTGCGCTGACTCACGGCATGTAGGGAGGTTGAGCGTAAAAACTTGGTCGGCTGTTTTTTGTCCTTGGAAATGGTTATCGTCATCTCAACAATCGATCCAACGTTAAGTTTCTCAGGTGCGAACGTTAAGTGGTTTACGACAACCCAGAAACTACGAATTCGGAAGTCTTTAGCTCAACCTTAGTCATAGAAACCCAAGTCGGGCCTTTGAAAATGTTGCGTAAACACACCCCAAATAAATGGGTATACCTTGACTGCCCTGGAGACTCACTGACCTTTGCGGAGAATAGGCGATTGTGGGAGAGCCTAGGCGCAGAGTTGCAAAGTGGATGCTTGTAAACCGAATACTGACTTGTTGGAAACCGAATACTGATGCCAAACTTTATATGCAGTAACGGAAGGAACGGAATTGATTAATTGATTGATTACAACAGAAACAACATGAACCTTATAGAGAAACATAGTGACGTGTGCAAGAACGTTCTACGGGAATGTTGTTCATGAAGAACGTTGTTTAGGGAGAACGTGCAAGCACCTACTATAGTTTGCGGTTCCATGTTGGCACCGCCAGGTGAAATTACCATTAGGTGAAAACATCATCAGGTGTACTTCTACCTGCCCAGGAGTAGTTGCGCAGGTTCTTGCAACACTTACAGTTGCACATACTCGTTTGTGCAATGTCGTCACTTCCCTCCAATCTGGTCCAATGTCGAATTGTACATACTGAGATGCACAAATTGGGGTGTACCGAAGCTTCGGTATGCGGTATGCGAAATCTCGCTACTTCGCATAGAGCTGCTACACGCAAAACCAGGCATGTGCAGGGCTTAGCCTCAACTAAACACACCTCAAATAAATGGGTATACCTTGACTGCCCTGGAGACTCACTGACCTTAATATATGCATCCGCGTGTAGCACCAGACCAACACACCATCCAGGGCCCAGCAAATCGAGATTCGGTAGGGTGTGTCACTATTTTTGGAGCACTAGGGTAACAAATTTGTTACGAATGCTGTTGTGTAAGGAAAATTACCTTTCCTTATCAGGGTTGACTGCTACGCGTACAACCCCAAGACTTTCAGACTTCGCACGTTAGGCTGACATCCACAATTCCTGAGGCTGCCTCGCATCATCTTTGGTTTCACCTTCGCCGAACCTGCACCCAACCTCGTATTCCTGAGGTGTCAGAATTATATTATTATAACTGCATGTATTTTTAGCCTTAGTGTAGTTATCCTAACTTCCTGCTTGGTGGTGTACCCCCCTTTCCTACCCTATTTGTACTTCACTCTCTATAGTGAAACAGCCTCTTCTTCTTCTCAACTCTCTCGATAGTCCATGCCTAGCCCAAACTCTAGCATGGCTCCTAAGTTCCTCCCTCACTACTAAGCTACTCATTTCAACATGATATCAGAGCAGTTACGACCTCTTTGGGCCCACCACCTGCTGTCCTACGCGCCACCCTCGTGTGGCCCTTCTCACGACATTAGGCCCCGGCCCGTCGCTCGTGCCCGTCGCCCCTAGGCCCGTCGGCACCGTCGCCCCTAGGCCCTTAGCCCCGTCGCTCCTAGGCCCGTCGCCCCTCAGCCCCGTCGCCCCTAGGCTCCGGCCCCCGGCCCGTCGCTCGCGCCCGCCGCTCCTTAGGCCCGTCGGCACCGTCGCCCCTAGGCCCCGGCCCCGTCGCCTCTCGGCCCCGTCGCCTGAAGTGGTACACCTGGCGCAGTGGAAGACGGCAGAGAGTTAAATGAGGAGGAGGAGGCGAGAGGGAGAGAGGAGAGGAGAGGGGAGAAGTACAAAGGAGGAGGTGAGGGGGAGCCACCCGTGGCAAAACCCTCTTACTAACCTCGTTTTACAAAGGGGGAGGTGAGAGAGTGACGAGGAGAGGAGGTGGGGGGGAGCCAAGCGCGACGATACCCCTCTTACTAACCCCCAAATCCCCACACCCATTCAACCACCCCCCTTTAACCTCACCCCCCAT